GAGTCTTTAAGAATCCAGCCCCCACCCCCTTCACTCACACACATCATTCAACCAGACAGCTATTTGTAAGCCATAGGGGGGCCCAGAAATAGTTTGGAAACCACTGACCTACAGCATGTCCTAGCATCAGTGAATTGCTAATGTAAAGTGCCACACAAACACAAAGGTTATCATGACAGTCCTACCTGTATGTTTTAATCTGTCTGTACATACAAATGATTTTGAATGTGGAGCAGTAACCACTCTAGAAGTAGGCAGAATGGACACCAGAGGTGGCTTTGATTCGCTTCAAATGGAATAAAACATTTTATATTATTTTTTAACAGATATTTCTGTAATTACACTTTAATCTTCATTATATGGTATGTTTTTACCCCACCTACCTGCTATGTGCTCCACACTGGGGATAGCCATGGTACTGTATGTGTGAATACAGTGGCAGCACCAAGTCAGCTTCTGGTGCTCCTCGTTGCCCCCTTCGCTTTTGTGCACGTCAACAAAGTAGGACCCCCATCGGTTAGACATGGCAGAGGGTGACTTCATGCCTTGTTCCTGCAGAGATATTTCACACACAAACCAAACTGCACTAATTTGTTTGAAGACTAATTTTCAGACAAGTTCAGCCCTGTTTAAGGGAGCTCAGAATTCCAAAGAGCACATCACACAATATAAATATCTTTTACAGGAATATACTCAAGTGATGATTAACAATCATGGAGAGAGCAGGATGGGTTAGAGTTACATCCAGTTTTAAAAACTGGATGTAAAAACACAATGACTGTTATCAGCATTTTAAAAATTGTTTTTGTACACATCACTTAATTTAATCTGGAACAGTTGCATAACAGACTCAGTGGGAGAACCAAGAGTCAGAATTAGCCAAAAAGACCAAGGAGTTTAAAAAATTGTTGCAGGAAATGCTCTGACACCAGCGGCGCCGGATTCATTTTTGAGGTGGGGGGACCAGGGGTGTTTCGTCATCTCTGTTTCGCACTTTGAATGTCAGGCGTGCGCTTGTTCAGTTGACACGATGGCACCTGTCAATCAACTCATTGGGTTTGTCACAATTTGCCCCGAAGTAAGCGCCCTTTACCTGGAGGACAAAGCTGTCGGGTCCATCATGCGAAGCGGTCTGGTTACTGACTTACTGATTGCTGGCTATTAAATGCGCTGCAGTGAAACAGATTTGGTGAAAAATAATCAGAAAAAATTGTTAAAAGTTGTGGGGGAACATGCACAAAGCATTTAGAGGAAGGAATAAAATTTATTCCATTTTCAAAACTGGTGTCTGAAAAAATGCAGGAAAATGTCGGCTGCAGCATAAATGCCTGCAGCCGACCCAAGAACAGCTGAATACAGAGATCCGCTGTATTAAAACACCATGTTTGTATGAAGGTTTTGTCATTATTACATCATATTCTTAAAGGTTAAATATCAATGCGTGAAGCTTGGTCCAAATATGTGCTGTGTCTACAAATGGGTACAGTTTGCTACAGTTGCAGCGCGTCTCTAAATCAGACGCGCGTGACGCCAGAGTGCGTTTGGTGTGAACGCACCAAAAGTGCAACGCACTGAACTTGAAGCGTCAGAGGCGTTTTTTTAACGCGCGTAACACGTTTAGTGCAAACGCACTATTAGGGAGTTAAACGGTTCTCCAAGCAGGTGACCCGTCAGGTCTGCAGTTCGCCAAACCACAAAAAAAAAAAAAAAAAGAAAGAAAGAAAGAAAGAAAAGCTCATACACCGGTGACCTGCCAGAACCGTGTCTGGTAAAAAGCTCAGGAGGGATCCAAACAACCACTCTTAGATCTATGGGAA